GGTTTAGGGTTAAATATCTAGGGATTTTGGGGGGTTTAAAGATTCCTCGGGCGGAGGATTTGCTGCTCTAGTTCGTCTGTGATGGACTTACGGCTAAGCCGCCTAGGCCCCAAGAACGACTTTGTCAAAAATGGTTTGGAGTTCTGGGTTTGCGGTTTGGGGCTGGGGATTTGGGGTTTAGAGTACAGGATCGGCTCCGTTCTTCTGCCTAGGGCCGCGTATTCAGGGCCTCTTGAGCTAGTTTGGGCTTTTGCGAAGGGTTTAGGGTTTAGGGTTTATCAGAGCTAGCTGAGGCGATTTTTAATGTTATCGTCACACATCCAGAACATTGCGGTAAATGTAGCTTGCTTTGTTATTGGATAATGTGGCTCTGTGAAACATCAAACCCTGAATTTGCAATGATTCGGACATCTAGGTGTTTGGGATTTCGGGGTTCTCGGATTTAAGTAGGGGGTTATTGCATTCGGGTTCAGGGTTTAGGGGGTTTAGGTGTTCAAGGCGTTCCGTCGAGTTTCTGCAGCAAGAGCTTAAGTGCTCGCCCCACACAGTGGCTACGGCTGCCGCTGCCACAGACACCATGACCTTGGATCAACATTCCGGTATCCGATCACACCTCACATTCCTCACCACACCGCAATACCATACAATGCAGTACCATGCCAGATTAACCACGAATCTTTCTCTGCACACCAACGGTCTTAATGCACATGCTATGCAGTCTTGCGTGTGAGAGCTCGGAATTAACCCTTGCGTTTCGGAATATTCATATAGGTGGGCAGAAAGCTCGAGCATGGCTTCGGCATGGCATAACTGCCAATATACGTAAGTACTAATTGTGCCGACTTCTGCATTCAATTTGGTAGCAACTTCTAACAGCCTTCTGGAACCCTCTTTAGACTCTCTACCCGAAGTCTAACGCCTCGAACCCCGAACAAAACTCAGAAACCCTGACCTGGACTGCACCACCAGGCAGCTGCTGTTGATGCCGCATTTCGATCCTTAGCTTAAAACTTGTCGTCAGCTTGCCAGTCAGGAACGTTAAGCCCAAATCCTTTGAACGTAGTTGAGGGTTTCAGGATTCAGGTTGAGGCTTTTGGGTCTTGGGCTTATGGCTTTTTGGGTTTGAGGCTTTGGGCTTGGGTTGGCCATGTTGGGTTTAGGTTGGAGTTTGAAGCTCCATCGCTGAGGCCAAAACTACTTAAAAAGCCAGGAATGTTGGGACAAATTATTGCGGGCAACAGGAAAACAAGAACCTAAAAAGACGAGTAGAGATGCTGGGCCCCCTTTCCGTCCTAGAAGCCATCAGAACCCCTTGAAAGGCCGAGTGTGTTCCGCATTTGTCTTGAGACTTTACCCTAAATAAAAAGGTTTCTTTGGTCAAGCTGTCAGGTGATGGACGAAAAAACATGACGAGGCAACTGCCTCAGCAGTCGAAATGGCAGAGGGTTTGCGGTTAACCACAGCGCCAGGAAACCTACAGCATATGGCCCTATTTCGAGCATCTACGATGTACTTACTTCTGGCTACTGTGAATTCATTGCTTCGGCAGTTCTTGCTCTACTCAGGGAGAGCATTACGGTCGACTCTCCAAGGACTTCGCCATTCACGCTTTGCGTGCAAACGTCATGGGAAAGCCAAAGTTCCAAGAGCAAAATCAAGAACCTTACTGTAGCGGTTGAAGCGGGCTTTGTCTCTTCAACACAGGCCAGAGGCCTGAAAGCTTCACTTCAGCTAACAGTACGAAGCCCTCAGCCTCTCTTGTCCGAAGCTTGGCAGAAGGCCTAGCCTGATCAAGGCGTGAATGGTGGCTTTGTCCAGGAGTGCTGTAGGATTTGGGTACTTAGCTTAGCTTCTTCGGGTTTCAGATCCATGATTAACAACTTCCCGCAGTCATGGCATTCATAGACGGATCCTAAGCCCTCAACCGTAAACCCCAAACCTAACGATCGCTACTAGGAACCCTATTGAAGGGCGGGGTCTTTCCAATCAGGGGTGTTCATCCCATCTCCGACACTCCAAACCCCCCTACAGAGCACCTACAGAGCCCGTTGTAGAACCCTCATGGAACTATAGAACCCTTGCAAGAACCCTAAACCGGCCCTTTCAGCAGGCGTGCGCGCGCGTGGCTTTTTGCATTTCTCCTGCTGGACTCCTGCTGGCTGGTCTCCGGTCTAAACCCTCATGCTCCGAAGCCTCTTCCACGTGAAGTATAGGAGGCTGAATACTTAGAACAGGGGTTTGGTGGCTTAACTACAACCATAACCATGATAAGGAACCCGAAAAAAGCCGCTATTTGGTAGTCTGACCCCTGCATTATAGTGGCTTAGGGCTTAGGGGGCTTCTTAAACCAATGGTACCTCTTGCTTGGCTCAGGGCTTGGGGTTTAGGGTTGGGGGGGTGCTTTTCCGATTGGTCTGTAAGTTACTAGCCTACTGAGAGCTCCCGTGGTCTAGGGTTCAAGGGCTCTGGTTCAGCATTTACGGATTAGCCGAAGAATGAGACTGCTCGACAATCATGCAGTTGGTGGCAGCAGCTGCTGTGTCCATGAGATGCTGAAGAAACTCATTAACAGCGGCATCAACAAAATACGCTCGCATGCACATTTACTCATATAACCACTGGCATCATCATCATAAGAGCATGATGATGAGAATGGAGATCCTGGTTGAGTGCATAGCCGTTGTCATTGCGACTACGAGTGGCGATTCCGCAGAGATCCCGAGCGTACCTACCACAACTCCAAGCGGCAACCCGAGCCATAAAAAAACAAAACCTTAAGATACAACCTATCTAAGCCCTGAACCTTAGGTGCAGACTATTGCAAGCCTAAACCTCGAGATCAAGCCTGACCCTTGAAAATTCACACATTCAACCTAGACCAACTAAACCTGGATATAGACACTATACAGACCCTTTTTCCTACAAGCTATCTGGATGTGGAAATTTCGGACGGTTCGGACGTCCGCATTCGAAGAAGCTCGCCTCGGAGACGGGTTCCGGGTCCGTGCACATGAAAACCTGCACTCCGCCTCCCAAAAACCCCATAACCCCGCAAACCTTTGCCGATTAGACTAGTGTTCCAAGGGCTTCCTCCACATGGTCATGGATGGTATAGCATACCCCAAAGCCCGACATTTCAGGCCCTTGTGGTAGCATTGCAGGTAGAACAGGCATACTCCTTGATCAAGGGGTCTTCGGAGTCTCAAGGCCGCCTAGAGGGGTTTACGGATTAACAAAACCCTACTTAAACCCTAAACCCCTAAACCCTAAAGCTGAGGGTTAAAGGTTTAAGGATTCCTTTTGCTTCAAGCCTCAAGCCTTACACATAACGGAGAGCCAAAACTCTCCACGAAAAAGTTGGGAGTCGAAGCTGCGGCCATTCTTGCAACGTCAAACCCGAAGGGATCTAAATAGTGCCCATCGGCGCCATTCGTTCATGATTGATGCGAAATAAGAGTCTTGTTACTCCCCAAGATACTGTGGGGTTGTGCTTTAGGCGTTCAGCTCAGTTGGAAGGCTTTCATTTTCACAAAGAATATGATGCACGCACACACACACACACACGGACGGACGAGAGGTGCCGGGCCAACCCCCCCCAAGACAGGGTTCGGCTTAGAAAACTCAAAACAGTGCTGCATCTAGGTGCAAGATCTAGGTCCTACTGAGTTTGAAGCTTTCAGTCAGATGGGCCGGCAGCTTCGAAGATGTTCCAGCCACAGTGTCAGCTGGAAATGCTTGTCTTGACACAAGAGCCAAAGAGTGCCGCTGCGATCCAGCATGCCTTCGGCATGATGGGATTCAGCTAGCGCATACATCGATGAAAGGATAGGGCCCGGTGTGCGGCAGCTCAGAACCTACGCAGGGATCCCACAACAGCCCCTCTGCAGATGGCGCAACACGTTTGGGCTCTGAAGCTTGCGGCAACACACCCTGTAGCCCTAGCTAAAAAAGGCTTGAAAGCTGGCGGACGACGGAACAGGCACTGCTGTCCATGGTCCCAAGACCACATGAGGATCAGGTGGCAGGTCGAGAGTAGGGCGATAAGTTCGAAGCCGGATCTAGGGCTTAGAGTTTGGGAACCCCTACTGGCGATACTTAGACCTTCTCAGGCTGCTCAGAACCTTACTTCTGGCGTGGATGCTGAACCACTTGAGTCTTCGCCCTTCCGCCTTTCAAGAAATCAATAATGCGAACCTAGGGAACCCTAAACCAAACCCAAAACATCCCCGAAAAAAGCTTCGCTCGAAGTCCTAGCCTAATCCTGATGAATGCAAAACCAAACCCTGAGATTACAAACTGAGTCCCCTGATGCCCAAGCATTGTGGAGTGGTTGGGCTTAGGGTTTCCAGACTTCCTTCTTCCCGGAGAGGGCATTTGGGGTTTAGGGCTGAATGCTAAGGAGTTGGAGGCGCAGGACGTGGCTGAGGCAAAAGAGTTGGATGTTGGTTTTAAAACCTTAGTAATTACATGTTGGAGTATTTTGGGCGTGTAACCGGATGGTCCACTACACTTGTGCTGCGGTTTAAGACCGACTGTACAGATTGCGTGTAATCAATTTCTCTACTGTATGCTGTTCGTATGCCCTGAAGAGCCCTATACCCTTAATGAAGGAGGTCACCTTGTACCTTAGTTGAGAAAGGCCTTCTGTGTGGACAGTCCCCGAACTGCTGCATACAAGCACATCACTAATATGGAAGATTATGGAAGTCTGACCAATGTACACAGGCTTTGGCAGGGTAGTACAACTAGCGTATGGAGAGAGTGATGTGTTTTGAGACTGTTATAACTCTTACCCTTGGTCTGAGACTAGGTAAGCTTCATGGCTGAGGACGTGCCTTGCCTCCGGATCCTCGCACAAGGGTCATCGAACTACGGATCATAAGTTGCTACTTCGCATGCTGTCAATGCATGCGGTCTTCTTAAAGGTAGCAAGGGGGCCGTTCTTGGCACACCCGGAGACTGTACATTTACATCGCAGCGCTCGTGCTGAAGTTCTTCGTTTAGACATCACCCATGCTGTAGCTCTTGCGGCAAGTTGGGCAACATCTCCCTGCTGCAGCAGAAGACACCGACCAACATGCAAGACACTCTTCGTGGAAGACATGGCCACAAGGTAGCAATGCTATCCTGGGTTCATGTTAGGAAGGAAAGAAAGTTAATCCTTTAGTTCTTTCCGGCTAAGCATTTTAGCATACCTAAAGCATCCGAAGCCGCAAAACGCAAAAAGAAAGCCTGACTTTGAACTCGCAGCTGATTGTTTGGCTGGTAATCCTCCAGGCAGCAGATGCACGTCTTGTCTGTAGCAGGGTCCGACGCTCCCAGCCGTGTAACAACATCCCCTGCTTCCCACTCAATCTTCTCAGCCTGTCTGACCTGGGGTTCTTGAATGGTAGTAAACGTTCTATTAGTCTGCAAGGGTTGAGAGTTTAGGGTTTCGGGTCTGAGGGCTTGAGGGCAGTACAGCTTCAGGTCCCACTTGGGTTCTTCTTAACGAGCTTAGCTTAAGCTAGCATAGTAACAACAACACGCTATTTACTACACAGTACTGTTCTGATCCTCAAGACCCCGCCCGCCCGCCCGCCCACCCGCCCCCGCCCACCCCCGCCCGCCCCTTTATAAGGCCTTTACTGTCTCTTGGAAAGATGTTCTGGAACAAGATCACAGAACGATCGGAAGCAAATCCTATACCACCCAACATTCCTTCACCCTCAAACCCAGAGCACCACAAACCCACATAGACCTTACACAACCCAACGAACTCATCCAAAAAAGCCGGGAAAAGCTCCTTAGCGAGGACCCAAGTCACGCAGACCTGCCGGAACTCGGGTGTCACGGACCCGATGCTGCCGAAGCGGAGGGATGCCCAGATGCAGATGCACTCTCCGGTTGGCGAGGATGACGTAGTGCCGCCAGTCCTCGTGGTAGGCAACGTGAGAGCCCGAAGCACGGCCGCTTTCCACAGGAGCTTCAACTGAAGGAGCTGCCGGCCGCTTAGCGATCGGCTCCGACTCAGACTTCGCCTCAGCAGAGGCCGCCTCACTGACAGGCTGGGTCCGCACTCCGGCGGCCGCCCGGCCCACAGCTGAAACAAC